CCTCTTGGTTTTGTCGAAATGAAGCGCCGAAAAGGGATAACATTGCAAAAGGAAACCACACTAAAGGGTAGGATAATGAAGTTTTTTTTTTTTTTGAATAGTAAAGTCTTTCTACGAAAAGGAAATTTCCTCTGCATTTACGGTATGAAAGGTTAGAATTCTGCAGTGGGATGAATTTTTCATGAGTCTAGATTTTAGAACTTGACTCTGAAAAATCTCACCTTATTAGCATACAAAGCAGTCAAACAGATGAAAAATACTATCATCACCCCGAGCTAAAGATTCAAAATGTACAGAAAATACAAGTTACAAGTTACAGTAGCTAAAGTAGCTAAACTGTGCCCATGGTTTACGTTTCTGCAAAGAACTATTGCTTTCAAAAGAACGGATAAAAAGACAGTTACAATTGGCAAGAAACCACAAAAAATTCAAATGAGAGTAGTTGTTATTTTTCAGCCATCAAAATATCAAAGTTCTACCAATTGATATGTGTGAATTATGTTTTAGTAAATGAATTACCCCCGGTAAAACTCAAATAATGTTAACAAATACTTTTAAAATGTATTTTGATGCCTTGATACACAATATTACACTATAACAATGTGACCTTAATTTGTGCGAAAAACCATGTGAGCTTAAAAAGTGCGTTGAGCTGTATATCTAAGGGTGCATTCTACCAAGCTGGTTTGGGATGCTGAATTTGACCAATATTTTCTTGATTAGTGAAAAGGTTAGTTTTTTTTTATAAAGGTTTCATTTCCAAGTAACCTTGAGCTTTATGTTGAGCAAACTTGCAAGGATGATACATCTTAGGATGCACATTAATGGACTTGCTTCAGATGCTGAATTCGATATAAATTTTCCAGATAAAGGACCTGGTAAATGTTATGGGTGCAGGTCTATTACCAAGAAACTTTAAGGCTTATATAATACAAACTTGCACAAATGATGCATCAAGGGATGAAAACTCTCAAACTTGCTTCAGATGCTGGAATTTAACTATGTGTCCATGATGAAGAAATAATTTGAAGTTTTTATATAGGTCTATTCCAAAGTATCAGATCAACATTGCATAAATTTTGCATTTCTGGATGTACACATTTTGTTGGTTAATTCTGTGACTTTGCCTTACTTAAAGACAACATCCGTTGAGGTGAGCTCTGTAATATCTAATTACCTATATTTTTATTTTACATTTTTCGGATTCCTTTTTTTCTCCTTCAAATATATAAATACCCATGATATACTTGGTAATTAGTAATTTGTTTTGTTTTGTTTTGAGATATATTCATATTTCGAGGTCCATTATTTATACACTGAATTGACGACGGATATTCCCGTTATTTCCTGGTCATGACAAGGAGCACACGATGGTTGTGACAAGTCGGTAGGGGATGCTCACTCCTCCATGGCACCTGATCCCACCTCTGATATTTCAGGGGTCCGTGTTTGCTCTATTTTGAATTGTTTATGGACTTTGATAGTGAATACTGTTCGTCATCTCCTTATCCTTCTTTAATGGGGTAACTACCAGTATATCATTATGTAAGGAATTAATGTAACAGCTACCAAAATTATACTAAATAGCCTTTGTTGGGACAGTTCACGCTTTCTAAACCGCAAAGCTGTTAAGAAAAAAGTGTTGTCTGTTCCAATCCAGCTTATAAACAGTATACCTTGGACAGCTATTAAATTCATTCCTTATAAAAAAAAAAAAAATTTATCCAATCAAATGACATTTTACAGCCAGAATAAATTAATACAAGATTACTTTATCTCGATAAAGAAATACTAACTAGCTCAAGTTATTATTTATTTGTAATAGCTAAAAAATGATTTCGGTATCAGGAGTCTAATGAAAAAAAAAAATAAAAGAAATACATGTATAATGAAAATAGTGATAGTGTTTTTTCATGAGATAATCAATAAATGTTTGTACTCAAAGCTTGCTTTATTACTCCCAGTTGGTTCAATAGGCAAGAGACGGTCTAATGAACTATATCTAAAAGAAAGCAAGCTACTGACAAACAAGTTGATAAAATAAGAATGTCAACAGTCTTGCTTATTAAAAGTCATCTTTCGCAAGTTTTAAGATTTTTAAAAGATGCAATTATTTTTTTTTTTCACGAAATCATAAGTATGTCTCCTTGGAAGAAGATGTGACAATTCATCCAAACAAATTTGAATTAACATTACCCAAGGATACTTATTGGCAAGTTTGTTAAAATTGGTCCTGTTTATAACGACAAACAGTGACAATGACAACGACATCAGACAGTGCACAAATTATGATCAGGAAAGATCATCCAAAGATTTGTCATTACAAAATTACATCACCAAGACAAAATTATTTAACAAAATTAGCCAGTGACCTTGAACTAACCAAACTGACCTTGGGTCAAGGTCTTACATGTGAGTCAACAAAACTATCACTGTATCAAGTAGGAAAGTCTAATGATTAATTTCTCTGTTACAAAGTTTTTGACCGGACAAGTGACCTTGAACATGTTGGCATGACCTTGTATCAAAGGCATTGCACCCCTTTGGATCATAAGCAATCTCTAAACGAAGCATGAGCTTCCAGTTTTTTTTTCAATATCAAAGTTATAGGAAGGACATAAAGTAAAGAGATTTCTGAATATCACACACCCCAATTCCCATCCCCCAACCCCCAGCCACAAACTTCTTTTTACGTGGGATATTTAGATATTTGTTACACTTTAAAAAGTAAAATAACCACTTAGTCTGCGCAAATTCAGTTTCACTTGAGAAATGTTATATACATATTTTTAAAGTTTTATTTCTTAAGTGCAATATATGACTTTTTTCACTTGTTGTTTAGTAAAATTTTCGGTTGCCATGGTAATGAACAAAATATCAATATTATTAGTTTACACAGAAAAATATTGTGTATTCTACACTTTTAAAATTTGATTGGTATTCAATAATTACAATTGAAAAAAAAATTAGATTGACTTTCGAATTCGGCTTACTTGTGCCCATATTATACAGACTTTGTCCGAAATTTATTAACCTCAGCCTCCAGCCTCGGTCAATCAATACCTCTCCAGGTCTGCATTGTCAAAAGTGCAGGGGTAATCCTCATCAAAATCATATATATCTTTTTTTTTATAATCAGATTGCTGTATTATTTAAACTTAAAGAAATTAGACTGCGCAGTTTTGTTGCAGATATTGGTAATGATACAACATTTTCAGGAATTCGTAAAATTTTGACGGCTCAAGAGTCTCAATGACTTGCTACCACTAGCATGAAAAGTAGGTCATTGATTAACCATTTGAGAGTGATCAAAAAATAAATACTACAGACACAAGTCAAGTAATTGATTTTTCATTTCAATAAGTATATTGTAGAACGTTTTTTGCCTAGTTAACATCCAAAAAGACACAACTTTATGTTGAGGAATTGCTACATACTGATTCTATTTAAAAGTATTTGTTGCTATGTGGATAATTTCTGTTGCTTTGGATATATTATGATCTTAGAATATTTTTAAAACCTGGTTTGACAATGCTGATCCCGAGCAATAGCCATTTCAACTCTAAAACTCAAATGTTTTTAAAAATCTTTTAAAAACATCGATAAATATGTACTAAAAATAACTTACAATGCTTTGTTGCTAAGGAACATTTACTGTTGCCATGGAGATAACCTATTGTAAATTAGTCATAGGTATACAAGGAAGAATATTTTATAATATATTATCTTAAAAATTGTTTTTGGTACTCAATGATTACAATTTATATGATTTTTCTACCAATGCTTTAGACTTTCACCATTTTTAATTTATAAAACCATCCACTTCTGTTGCCTAGCAACAGATAGTAAATTTCAAATTTGCAAAACTTTTTATTTTAAATTTTAAGAAAGCCTTTCCTGTAGTTTTACAGGAAATAGATGAAACAATTGTACTAAGATGGTGAAACGAATAATATCGACTTGATTTTTACTAAAATCAAGCAAAATGCTGAATCAGCAAAAAACGGGAAACATGTACCTTTAGCTGTACCTGTAGTAAATATATTAGAGAATGTTATTTCTTTTTATTACATTGTCAGAACACTTCAAGAGTTTATCTTTCTTGTGACACTAAGGAAGAAAAGAATTACTTTTTAGATTTTTTTGTACAAAGCCTTCAAAATGAGTGAAATTTCATCAATCTCTAAAGAAAAATTGGCCGTTGCTAAGGAAATTTCTTTGTCCAGGTTTCCATAGTAACAATGACCCAAATTATTTTTCCTTCCGCATACATGGCTTATACCCCGAGGAAAATCTATGGGTGAAAAATCATTAATTTCTGAGAACCTCATGTATCACCTCCTGCCTGATTCTTACGTGGACCTGTACTTAATATATATGAAATGATGACGTAGTCAAATTTTTGTGAAACATTTGTCTGCTTTCTCCTTGATTAAATTAAAAATTGGTTGAGTAAATTTTGTTTTATTATTACAAATTAAAAAAGTATAATTTTTACGAACCTTTGATATTACTCATACTGCCAAATTTAGAAATGTATCAATTAAGCTCATCCTAGTTACAATACTTGTATTTTTACTCATTCCGGGCCATTCGAACAAAAACAATGATTCATTTTGTTAGGATAGGTAGGTAGTTTTTACATAATTTACCGACTAGCTTTCTTCGATTTCAATCAAACTATTGAAAAAGGAAGTTTCTATAAAATAAATTGTGTAACCACTTCTTTGTAAGAATACAATACATTAAATTATTTGGTATTCTAAAAACAGAATTAATATTTCCTAATAATGTAGAACTTTTTTTATTTGCGGTTCTTTATTTAGAGCGCATTAACACAAATCAGAAATATTAGGTATATATATAAAATTGGATGCATTTCTAGCTTGATTGGCTTCAGAATATCTTACAAAAACCAAAATACAAAGTATATTCAAGCATATGTTGATCAACTAACAAAATCAAACACGTAATGATTGTAACAATATGTTTATTTTATTTTACTTTTTCGAACAGACGACACAAAGTAGTTCTTTTCCTTCAACATATGGTGGACATTTCAAAGAACCACATCTGGCTTCCACAAAATAAAAAAGGTAGCCATTTTTATTAGCATGGCCGCCATGCAAGGTGTCGGGATTCTTATCCACGCAAGTGTAGCTCGTGCCAGCCGAATGATTGTAATACCCAGCCATTAGGTATCCCTGGTACTCGAGGTTCCAGCCCTTATAACAATTTTCTCTAGCTAAAGAAGAATTTTTATATTACTAAAGCTTCGTCACTTAAAAAATTATTGCGCTTTTTTTTTGAGATATCAAACACTTTTATCCTGAAGCCCTCTTTGCATATCAGATCGACTGAGTAACATTTTTATAAGTGAGTATAAAAACATTGGTCTATAAATTGGTATGAACATATTGTTTTTGCAAACAAGGTCATATAAAGACGACAGAATTTGAGAGATTGTCACTTTAAACGAGAATGTCTAAAGCTCTTGAAGAAAGAATCGTTTGTAAGTACACGTATTAGTAAAGTAGATGCTTGATCGTATATATTTATTTGAAAAATGCTCTACATGAAAGTATGCATTACATACTTAAAAAGGATAAGATTTTTTCTATTCATATGTAACACTACATCCATCCATTTTTACAAAATATCATGCTTATAACAAGGCTTATTCGTGATACATCACCTGGAAATGTTTTCACAACAGATCTATCATGGACAAGACAAAGAGCACAAGGTACGTCATGCTCATGGTATGAAGCATATTGACTTATGAATGTATCCGTTTCGTACTCTGCTCCAAATACATAAGCCCTTCTGGCATCTATTCCATCCACGTGCTTCCCCCACTCTGGATCCCTCGGTAAACAAAGAGGATCTACGGCTGCTCCCATATGTGAATAATGGGATCCCCCGACGAATCCTATAAAATGTCCTTAAAATTTATTTTAGTGAAGAAAATGAACCATGACTTTTTGGGGGAAATTGTTTATGCACTCAGATATGCAATTTTCATTTTCGCAAGTAAGGGGTGTATTGATTGATATTTATAACAAACTACATGTATATCTCAAATCCGAATGTACATTGATGTCAGAATGATTGAATTCTTAAAAGAGATGTTTTTTAAAAAATATTCAATCGTTTTGAAATGTTAAACAGGAATTACCTGAATAAATAAGTTTTGCGTTTGAGGGACAAGTCTTCTTTCCCCATCTTGTGTAAACAATGTTTCTGTTTCCTTTAGTTTTGCTTTCTGAAGAAGAATTTTGTATTCTATATTTCTTTGTAAAATGTTAATTTAAGATACAATACAGTTTTCATGTTTGTGTGATCATACCTTTTTCCTGTATGGTAGCGTTCACTTCCTCCCTGAACCTTTTCATAGATTCCTCTATGACGTCAGAGAAACTTTTGAATTCTCGCCTCAGAGCCTCTACCTGATATGCTCCTAAAGCAGACGACAGCTGTCCTGTTAGATAACCCTGTAACATGTCTTTACAACTTCCGGTCTGTGTTTCTCCATGTGTCGTTGCAAAAAACAAAGTCCAGGTTAAATAAAACTCCAACATCTGAGGAAATTTGACAGAATAAAAATAGATAGTCTAGTACTGTTTTTCCAAATGCATCTTTGTACTGTTTAATTGCAATCAATTTACTCATGAAAAATTAGCACCGTTTTCAAATTAAAAAATGCTTTTGTTTATGAAATCATAGATTTTCTTTTATTAAAAATATATCTTGATTTTTCTATACATACTATTCCTTTATTAAAGCGTTAACTTCTTACCTTGATAAACGATTCTTTTCCGTGTAGTAGAAAAAAATATTTATTCATGTGAATTGTTTATATTTATGTAAAAATGTAGGAGTTTTAATATTGAAGACGAACAGATGATACATATATCAACCTACATATTGACTTCAAATTTATCACGTAGAAAATAGATTAAAATGCAATTATACATACGTGCATGTTTGAAGTTGCTCAAGTAGTATTTAAAAACCTCAAATTTAAATGATTTGATGGATACATGTATATTATAAATTGATTCATAATATTTTAGAATTGCAGGCAATCTATGTCCCGTGTAATAAATCGATGTACTGTGTCATTAAACAAAAAATACAAATACTTAGTAGATACTAGTAGATAGATGCTTGTGAAAACGAAACGTAAGTGGGAAATATGTACGTTTCGAATTCCTGCGTCACATAATTGAATCAAATATATGTACATGTATGAACAGTTTGATGAATCTGGAATGTACATTTGTGGTTCATCTCTTTTTGTGAATAATAAAATATGAAGGTAACTTTTAGCCATCGATCTAAAATGAAATCTACAAACAATTCTATTTCTGATATACAGGCATAAATACAGAGCTCCGGGAATAACAAAGATGAGATCAGATACCAAGGAAGAGTATATATCTCATGTTGAAAGGTTACGTTGGCTCATGTGTCCTATGCTTTGATAATGTATAAGAAATATTCTGAAGTCCACTCAACTACTAAAACAAAGACCTGACCTGATTCGAAAGAAGTCAGTCTCAAAACGGCCGATTACAAGGTTATACTGCCGACCATAGAATAAACGAAATGTGCTGACTTTTAGCACGGTTGTTGAAATCCCTGTAATATAAACTTATATGTGAATAGTCTGCCTTTGTTTAAAGACCGAGTCTCCTAAAAGAATGCTCTAGAGAAGCGAATACGTTTGGAGACATAAACACAATATGCAGGTGATAGCGGACTATTTCTGCATAAATGAGAAGAACTGACAGTGGAAAAAATAAAGTCCTGTCATTTGTCATAGAATTTAGTTGTAAGATGGATTTTGTTATCTTCAGTCAGTAAATTATTTAAAAATGTAACATATATGATAGACTGTGTGATTTGTCTAATCTAAGTAAAATGATATTTCGAATCGACTTCTATTGTTACTTGGATGTCCCCGTAAACGAAGTTTCGGGGGTATATAGTTTTTGTCGTGTCCGTCCGTCTGCTGTCTAGCTGTCTCTCTGTCTGTCTCTCTGTCTGTATGTTTATATGTTTGTCCACAAACACGTAAACCTTGCTGATATCTTTTGATTAAGAGAAACTATGGCTTTTTAATTTCAAATGTGTATTCCTTGTGACAAGACCTTTCTTTGGGTCCCAACAATTTTGACCTTTTGACCTTGACTTTGGAGTTTGACCAACCTTTACACAAAAATTCAAAACTTTTACTTTGGTCATATCTTTCGAACAGTAAATACCAGGGCATTTATGCCTCACATATGTATTTTTTGTTGCAAGACCTTTCACTGAGTACCAGCAACCTTGACCTTCTGATATTGACCTTGGAAAATTCTTTACTTATGAAAAACTTTAGCCTTGGCCATAACTTTTGAACATTAAGGGCTAGGACTTTCATACTTCACATATGTAATTCTTGTGAAAAAACACTTTATTGCATACCAAGAACTTTTGACCTTGGAGTTTGGCCTACTTTTAAAATACAACCTTGAACATAATTTTTGAGGGGTAAGGACTAGGGCTGTCACATGTCTAATCCTTGTGACAAGGCTTTTATTTGATATCAAGAATTTAGACCCTTTGACCTTGACCTCGGACCCATTTTTACACAAAAAATCCAAACTTTACTTTGACCCAATTTTTTTTTAAACAGAACACACTAGGAATTTCATATTTCAAATATCAATCCTTTGTGGCAACACCTTTCATTTGAAACCAACAATTTTGACCTTTTGACCTTGGAGATTTTCGAAAAAACTTTAACATTGGCCATACTGTAACTATTGAATGACGAGGGCTAGAGCTTGCATACTTCACATATGTAATTCTTGTGAGAAGACCTTTTATTGGATATAAACAATTTTGACCCATTTACCTTGACTTGGAATTTGACCTTCTTTTAACAAACTTTAACCTTGACAATAACTTTTGAAAAGTAAAGGCTACACCTTTTTTATTTCACATATGTAATTCTTTTGACAAAACCTTTCATTGGATATCAACATCTTTGACCCTTTGACCTTGACCTTAGACTTTGACTTACTTTTTACAAAATTTAACCTTGGCCATAACGTTTGAACGGTGAGGGGCAGGGCTTTCATACTACACTTCAATCAAAGCGGTTTCCGTATTTACCGCGAGTTCTTGCAGTGTGAAATTGATCGCGGTTTAACACAGGTAACACAGGTAAACTCAGGTAAAACTGCGTACCTATATATAATCTTTAAGACAATACCTTTCTTCAGAAAACCAACAACTTTGACCCTTTGACCTTCCCGAAGTTTGTCCTACCTTTAAAAACGTAAATCTTAGTCATAACCTTTGAAGAGGTGGTGCTAGCGTTTAATATTTCACATAGTTTGTATTTTTTGTGAAAGTCCTTCCTTTAGGTACAGTATATTTGATCTGCATTTGAGAAAGCTTAACTTTCGCTATGTTGCCATTACGGGTAATCAGTGTTTCATAAACACATCTTGTTTGTTTGAAAGAAAATCGTTTATATACTGAGCGTCGAGTAAGGAAAATTTGTCCTCTCACTGTTTATTTTGCTTAAAATCGTGAAAATAAAATATATTTGCTAAAAAACAATGCAAGCGTATTCTCCTTCTCATGTGCAAGTTGATATTTATTTCTTTATTTCCTTTGTTCAAAAAGGTGTACAGCACTGACGTGATGGACCCCCGCCACATAGCCCCTTGTGATATGTACCAATGCAGTACACCCAGTTAATTTGACAGACGCCAACTTTTTTCAAACATTGTGTATCCTGTCCTGCCAATGATTGAAATAAATATACATTTATAAATATAAAATCATAATATTTCGTCACCAATATTATATACATGTATATTGTTTAAACAGAATTTAATTTTATGAAAAGAATTATTTTTAATGCTTATTTTTGACATATGCTTAAATTATTTACCTATCAATTTGAGTTTAAATAGTAAAAAGGAAATTTATCGGTCCTTCGGATGAGACCGTATAAACCGAGGCCCCGTGTCACAGCAGATGTGGCACGATAAAGATCCCTCCCTGCTCAAAGGCCGTAAGTGCCGAGCATAGGCCCAAATTTGCAGCCATTCACCGGCAATGGTGACGTCTCCATATCAGTGAAATATTCTGGAGAGGGACGTTAAATAGTATACAATCAATCAATCTAAGGAATTAGTGTCAATCCTCTACATCAAAGAGCGTCTGACTTGTATGCATGATATAAATTGCGTAAATGTGTTAATTGAAATTAAAGTGAATCCCGTATGTTGTGTGAGAGAGTCAGTTTTTTCTGGACATTCCATCATCAAAAAAATATAGTTTTACTCTGGACTATTCCGAGTTACCAAAACGTTTGTGTGTGTGTGTCTGTGTGTGAGCTTTACAACCTGTCTTTGTTCTCTGTGACTTGATTTGATTTATTTTTCAAAATACAAACTTTAACTTTTTATTGCTTGACTTACGTTTAATAAATTTTCATCACAAGTTCACTTGTGTTACTTTAACCAAATATATATTCTATTAAATTAATGATTCCATCTTCTTTGTTAACTTTAAATTGCTAGAAATATAGTGTAAAAATCCAGAATGAAATAAAGAATGTTAAAAATGACATTATTAATTGTCGGAAATGCAATGCAAAATTCCGGAAATAAAATGCAGCAAAAACTGGAACCTCCACTTACCCAAAGAAACTAATACATGTAGTACATGTACACATTTCGATGCTCGATTAAACACTCTAATCGGCACAAGTTTTAGAAATTAAAACATTTATATATAGGAAAGTTTAGTGACGCATACTAATCTTTTTTTCATTTATTTGTTAATCTGCGAATAAAAAAAAATGTCGCGTATGATTATTGGTTAACATTATAATAGGTTATGGATTAATCATGGATTTCAACACCAGTCCTGACCTGTACGTACCTGAACAAACTAACCAATTGACATTCTCGACTCTGAAGGAAAACATTGTATCATTAGAGGGAAGGGGGATTACGTATCGCGATGAGAGGAAATTTTTAAATAATCTCTTTTAGTCCAATAAACACGAAAGAATGGCTTGGAATATTTGTATGCAACTACATGGCTTTCTCAGAAACAATTTTGCATTTGTTAAAAAAAATTCTAATTATTCATTTTTTTCTCTCGTATTCTGAAAGCTCGGAGTGTATATATTTTAGGCGCTCTTCCGTGTAAAACAGCATGTACTGTGTTACAATCATGTACCCGTAAAATCGTGTCATAGTAATATTCTTTTTATTCGAGGAATAAAAGAAATACATTCGGTACAATACAATTATAAGTTATGTATCAATTCATGCAAAACTCAAAGTTGCTTCATTTAATTTTCGATTTTCATGAGAACTGGAAACGTCACTTCCACTTACAATTTACTGTGCGCATTTGCCATGTTTATTTGTATTTGCTAATTTAAACAACATCGCAATTTTTTTCTGATATAAAGCAATTAGAATAACTTGATATAGGCCCGTATGCATGTAACGATTGCAATTACTTCGAAGTGGAGGGGAGACGGGGCCTAAAAAA